CTGAACAAAGTAGAAGAAATCAAAATCCTGAGAAAGGCATACAACTGATAGATATTGCAGTATCAAAAACTTAGACAAAAAGGAAATGTTGGGTTTCATCTTTGATATGCTTCCTTCCTCTCTTTTTCTCTAATACGAGTTTTGGCACTTCACAAGCAAAAGCAAATAAGATAAATGATGTTGTCAAGTGATCTTTTTATAGGCCAGAAAGTGATGATTTGATAATGATATGTTTACATTGAAATGATGCTTGAGCTTATAAGGCATGTTAGAGTAGAGGAATATGCGAATCATACCATACTCTTTCAATTCTCTAATAACTTGTATCGTGGAAAGTGTACAAGAGGGTTATCCACGAAAACCACAACGTGCCCTCCAAGTTGCCATTGGCTAATTAATTAATTAACTAACTGTGGTTTTCCATGTTCAAAAACTGATAATATTATCTAGTACTATGTTATTTTATACCTACCAATAGTAATAAATTATCATATATATTTAATAACAAACTTCCAAACCTAATAAATATTAACTCACGTTAAGAACAATATCCCTTTAACGTATACCATTTAGCAACAGGTTCAAATCACTATTTTAACTAATAGTTCGTTGTCCCCAGCAATTAGAAAGTATTAACAAATTAACACTCCCACTTGGTCAATTTTAATATTTTTTGCCTATGTCACTTTTTATTGGAAAAAACAGTCTCGTATCAAGTAGAGATAAGATAATTAAATAGTATAAAGTGAAAAACAACCCTCACCTTACAAGTCAGTTTTGTAGGGTTAAGTTAGGCTCAAATCCACCTTCTAAAATGATATCAAAGCTATCTAGATTCATTTTAAAAATGGGTCACCCACCATTGATATATGCATCATGGATATGAGGGGGTGTCCCGCCTATCCTAGATCATTAAAAAGAGTCATCTATATTTATCCATGTATCAAGTCCAATATTATTAGACATGAGAAAGTGTATTAGGAAAAATTCAAGTCTCACATCAACTAGAAATAAACTCAAATCCACTTTTAATGGGATAAACACTAAAGAAGACAAAAAAAAAATGAGGATAGATGATTTAATATATAAATTAACACTTGTACACGCATAAAAAAACAATAATACGTCAAAATAGTTTTAGCTTCTAAAATTATAAGTATTGGTTAATTTAGCCACTAAAATTATAAAAATATCATTTTAATTTTTGGAATTACCAAATACTTATCATTTTAGTCTTTATTGTGTTATATTTCAAATGCTAAAATGATATTTTTATAATTTTGAAAATTAAATTAACCGATACTTATAATTTTAAGGACTGATTTTATTTATTAATAATTACTCTAGGAAAAATATGAACATATATATATAGTTGTGACTTCTCTCATCTCAACCATGTATTAAAGTTCAATCAATTTTCTGGGGTCAACTTTGTAAGGCACCTAACTTACCAATAATCACATATCTATACAATCTATTTTACTTTTTTCTGCCTCAACGCGGCAAAGCCTAGGATTAATTAAGATAATTTATGAAGGGTGAAAAACTTGGAATCTTACTAGCAAACTTAAAAAATAAAATTAATGAGTGTAAGGACATTATCTTAATCGAGTTTCGTTACAATGTTTAATTAAGACGTAAAGTCTACTTTATAATATCGGTTCATATGGCAAAGGAAGTTTGGTCATTGGTGGTCTTGCGTGCAAGTAAGTCAATTTTAGGTGTTGCTTTGTCGTGTCGATCGTGAGTGTACAAAGCTAAAATATATATTCATGATAAGAGGGATTAAAAGAATAAAATATTTATAATGATCAAATAACGTTATTATATTAATATTGGGGTTAAGTTTGAAAAGAAAATACATTTTTTTTTAAATTAATGCTACTAACAATTTTAAAATATAAATATCAAATAATATTAATAGTAACTTGTGGTCGGTCCTTATCACAATTTGTTCATCTCGTACTTAGTTGCAATTATTATTTCCTTGTTCAAAGTGAACTTGCATGCACCTTATTTTCAATTATGTGTTCTGATCTGTCCACATTAATAGAAGTGCCGACCATAGGTTTGGGAAGCGTTCTTCTGATTAAAACGTTTAAAATAAAAATTGTTAAATGCATGAAAATATTGTTGGAATCTTTCATTAATTAATATAAATGGATCACAATAGATATCATTATCATTATTATTAGTGAAATGAAAATAATCCATATTCCTAGATTTATTTAGAAGTATTTGAAAATTATTTATATTTATTAGATCAATTGATATTATATTTAATTTTAAATTTTTAAAATTAATTATTTTTATTTTTTATTTTTTATTATTTAAAAATTTAAAGAAAAAATAACTTAAAAATTGCGTAAATTTAAACGTGATATAATAGATATAAACATGTACTATTATATAGTTTAGATAATAATTATAATTGGTTTAAGGGACATTGGCGTGTTCCAATTGAATGCTTGTGTTTTCGTAGGTAACAACCATGAACCATCCCTACGTTTACGAGGTTCATGTTAGATGCTATGGATCAAGATCTAGAAAGAGTATATAACTTTTGAGACACTACAACAAAATTTGTTTTAGAGCATATTTTTATATAAACTAATGATCAGTTAAACTTATTTTGAATTACAGTTTTCATGGTAAATGAATAATAGTATGTAAAAAATAATAATTTATAATATGTAAAAGTTAATAAAATGGGCAGTTTTTATGGTAAGTGAATCTTATTTCCCACATGTCTATTTTATAATATTCCATTACTTAATTTATTATAATTAAAAAGTTAATAATATATTCTATTTTATAATATGACAATAAAATTCAATTTTAAAACTATGTATATATTACTTAAAAAAATTATCATTAGGTCAATTATAGTAATTCAAAAAATTAATCAATAATAATTGATAATATTAAATTTATTTTTTCCCAAAATTACCCGTAACTTTAGTAAGACATTTCCTCTATCAATTACTTATTGAATCAAGAGAAGTGTATTGATTAAAAGTATTTCTTATAAAAAAAAATAATGCAAAAAATATTTTAAATTGATTCTCTAAAAAAACAAAGTCAAACAAACACTTTAGATTTGGATGTTATAAAAAGAACTAAATGAAGTAATCTTTAAAGATTAATTTATAATAGCTAAAAGTTAATGAAATGAATTTTAGTAATTAATAATAAGTTAAGATACTTTTACGACATTTATTATATCGATAATATTTTTAAGAATCTTGAATGTATTATAGTTTAGTTGTTGTTAATATGAGTATTAATAACATACTTTAAAAAAATGAATTTTAGTAATAATAAAGAAGATAGTTTTTATAACATTTATTATACCGATAATATTTTTAAGAATCTTGAATATATTTTATTTTAATTATTGTTAATATGAGTGTTAACAACATATTTTTTATAAAAAAAAATGTTTGGATACAAATTATTAAAATATATATTATTAATATGTTTATACTCTTTAATTAAAATATGTTAAATTAATATAATTAAATTATATCTATTTTACTATTTATTATAAAAAATTTGTATAAAACTAATTTATTAATAATTTATATAATTAATTAATGTAAAAAATAAATTAATTAAACAATCAATTAAACCAAACAATTTAATTGATTAACTAAAGTTAAAGTTAACTAATTAATTTTTGCCGTCAAATTTACCGTATATATTAAGATAATATATATACCATAACATTAATTATATTAACAATATAGATTTAGTACAAATTTTTAAATGTATATCTGATGTCAATAGATCGAACATTATGTGTTTTTAAAAAAATACAGATAGGTATAAATTATATTAACAATGATACATGCTCATTTTAAAATATCAATCCTCTTTTGTGATTTAAAACTTTTGTGTTACATCAATTTTACATGTACTTAATTTTTAAAATTGATTGTTTACACTGTGTGTTTCAGGTGTATGTAAGGCTCTACGATGACACAACCCAGTTCAGCCTATTTTAACTAATATATATTATCATATTCATTTAAATATAAAGAGGAGTTAAGATTTAAAAAATGACTCCAACAAAATTCAAGAACGTATTAGAATGAAACATAACCTTCACTAATTACTATTGCTGTATCTTTGCAATGTATTTTATTTTTTGTGTTTTGCTAAAAAAACTCTAACATATTAATTTTTTTTATTTTATTTTCATACTAATGTCAAAATTATTTTTAGTTTGAGATTATAAGTAACCGTCATTTAATTTTCATAATATCATGTACAATAATAAGATTCAAATTATTCTTAAAATCTAAATTACATTAAAAATAAGAAGTGAAATTATATTTCCACTTAACCTGATTTTATCTTAAATTAAATATATTCTTTCTTAATTCAACTCTTACATTATTTACTTCATTCAAGCTTATAGAGAAGTTAAGCTCTAAAATTTGACCCAATTAAATTTAGAGGTAGATTTAGTTCAAAAATAATTTGCCAAATTTCTCTCAATCAAACATGTTGCAAGTGTTAGAACTTATTCCCATTGCACAAATGATGATTATATAGTATTTGCATATACCATGTTATTGAATAAAGCACTTTGAATTGATGACTATTGGATATGAAAAGCACTAGTACAATTGAAGAGAGAGAAGATTGTCTTAGAACATTGAGAAACTAAAAAGATGGGAACTGAATGTCTGAGCCACATTTGCCCTTGGGGAACACAGTGCACTCAATCAAGTTTGAGCCAGAAGTGTCCACACAAAGGTAAACTTGGTATAGCTGGCTGTTACCGGATGTGTCCACATTGCACTCAATGAAAGGAGTGAACCCAATTGCATCCTTTATAGCCCCTTTGATGCTGCTCAAGCTGTAGGATTGGCCATCTGGTTGTATTCCTGTCACAAAAAATATGCACACAAAACATGAGTCTAATTTAGTCATACAAAACTATGCATACCATACCTTATTTATGTGTATATTTATGAAAACATTAACCAGTTTAAATATGTATACCTGCACTGTTAAGAGCTTTGAGGAGGTTGGTTTTTTCCCTAAGGCTGAGACCTGCTTGAAAATAGTCATGTTGCTTAAGGACAGACTCAGAACATGTGCCATGTTTATCCCATTCATGGGTCCAGAACTGTATGCCATCGCCACTTGGACAGGCCAGTGTGGGCCAATTACTTTGCAAACTGCTTTTGAGATCAGATATCTGTCATCATGTGTAAAGACAAATTAGTGGCAAATTAATCATCATG